GGAGAGCTGCTTGGTGGGCACCTGGCAGCCAGCCAAGGTCAAACCACCACCATATTTTTTTCCAGTTTGCTATCACAAATGGCTCTCCACTTTTCAAACTAGATTAATTCCCGCTGTTCTTAGAGGTCTACATCCCTCACCTCAGAACAGTCTACTTCAAATTTTTGCTTCTTGCAATGTTAGAAAACAAGGAGTCAGGTGTTACAGATCATTGTAGGAAATTTAAATTACTAAGGAAGTGTGAACCTGCAAAGGGTGACTCCACATTCATTGATGTGGCGTGGAGGTCTGAGCAGAGCCAAACACTGGCATCGGTTCTTGTCAAGCATAACTGTATCTTAGGTACCATTTTCCTTTTCTCAGAGGAAGTTAAAACTCTTCGGAAGAGATTTCTATATTCCCAGCATTTGTTTTTCCTTTTTTTTCTACATAAAAAAGCAACACTGGTTAATGGGTTTTTTTGGTTTAGTATTTCCTAGTAGTGTAACTTCCTAGTAGCAATTTTCTTGATTGCAGGTATTTATAAGCTTAATTCTAAGACTATGAGGTAAATTCTTACAAACTCAATAAAAGGAGAAACATGCTAATATTTTGTTATTTGTCTGTCCTTTTATATTAATTTTTATAGTCATTTCAGAGCATTGATTCCAGACTGACTCCATTTGTGGTGAAAACAAAAACTCAGCCAGACCCTCCAAGCCAGCTGGACTGTTGAATATTTCTAGGAGGCACCTCACATTTGATGGAAATTGGCTTGAGGTGACCTGTACATCATGGTCTCCAGGAAACAAGCCAGGACAGGAAACCATGTTGGTGTTGCAACAGAGACAGACTCTTCACTGTAGACTGATTCTTCTCTGCTTATCTCTTGCAGCATCAATCTTTTCTTTGTAAATCATCATGCTATAGTAAGGATGTGGCCACAGCTGCTGGGAGGTGATACTGAAGAGTCTTAAGTACAAACAGTATGGAGGGCTGGCTGTGAAATTCTATGTGAGATACTGGTCTCAACAGTTATTTGCACTTTCCTATGCTCTCAGTGATCTCTCCAGTAATGCACATAGGAACCTCAAGATTTCTTGTCTTTCTAGTCTGCCCCTTTTCATATAACCATATTCTTCTCCATTTTGTGCCATTGGTTCAGTCACTCTTAACCTTTTCTCCTTGCTTTCCTCATCCGACATTCCTTTTTAGGCATTTATTTTCTTATTCTCTGGCAACTGTCTGCTCACCTTTCCTGTATAGTCTTTGCTTCATTCTTCTTGTCATCTCCCTCTGTCTGCTCTCTTGACTCCTCTGCTTTCAAAACCTCCCTCTGGTTTCCTACACGTGACAGCAGCCCCACACTGCAAGCACTCTTCACATTTTCTCATGGAAATGCTTGTCTGGAGCACTGCTGCCTCCAGACTCTGGAGAGGTCATTGGGCTTGCAGTGGGAATAACGGGGCCTGTAAGTGTTCACTTTCCTCATAAGAAATGACCATTTCCATTGACCACAGCATTAAGCCGGTTTGCTTCTCAAAGGATTTGTGTTTCATGGTTGACTGTCTTTTAAAACAAATTACACAAGAAAGGATTAGTGTTCATTTGTGCCGATGTTCTATGGCCCCAGCTGAAGGTGCTGACACATAGCCAAGTCCCCTAGCTTTTCTCTGGCCTGCAGGCAGGAGAAGAGCTATAGGAGCTGTGGTGAGCCTAAGCCATTTGCCTGACCCATCCATACCTTCTGTGCGGTGGCCAAGCAAATGGCTCCAGCACCACATCTGTAGGAGCTTTGTGCCTCCAGGACCTCCATCCTCTCCCAGACTGGACTTTTGCAGATGGGTGTAATGCAACTCTGCCCTGATCAGTGTTTTGATTTCTGTAGATGACACAAAACTGGGAGAAGTTGTTGATATACCACTATTTTGCTTCAGAGGGACCTGGACATGCTGGAGACATGGGCTGACAAGAATCTCATGAAATTCAGCAAAGGGAAGTGCCGAGTCCTGTACCTGGGGAGAAACTACCCCAGCACCATCCTCTCCCAGACTGATCTTTTGCAGATGGGCGTGGTGCAACTACCTCTGTCCTGAGTATTTCTCATTGCCCTTCAGTAATTCTCAGAAGGAACACATACTTAGGTCAAACTGCTTGGGAGTGTTATTTGGAGGATCAGACCACAAGAAACATATATTCTAGTGTAAGTGGAATTTCCTCGTATTTCATTAATATAAGAGATAATATAGAATCTATTAGGATGAAAACCCCCATCCTTAACTCTATGCTTATTTCTGCTTTTTTTCCTTCCTTTTTCTCTTCTGGCCAGCTTCACAAGTGCCTTGACCTCTCAGCGTGTGCTTACCCTGCTACATAGGGGAGGGTCCCAGAGAGGACTCAAGCACCTGTGTCCTGGTTTTGGCTGGGATAGAGTTGATTTTCTTCATAGCAGCTTGCATAGTGCTGTGTTTTGGATTTAGTACTAGAAGAATGTTCATAACACACTGATGGGTTTAGTTGTTACTAAGTAGTGCTTAGACTAGGAAAGGACTTTTCAGCTTCCCCTACTCTGCCAGGTGCACCAGAATCTGGGAGGGGGCACAGCCTGGACAAAGGGCTATTCCAGACCATATGACTTCATGCTCAGCACATAAAGCTGGGGGAACAAGAAGGAAGTGGGGATGAAGTGACAGCATTTGTCTTCCCAAGTCACCGTTACGCGTGATGGAGCCCCACTTTCCTGGAGATGGCTGAGCACCTGCCTGCTGGTGGGAAGCGGTGAATGAATTCCTTGCTTTATTTTGTTTGCATGTGTGGCTTTTTGTTTCCCTATTAAAT